GAAGGTAAACAGTTCCCATATATCCCCCTCCCCCAGTGCTTTCTCCCTACTATCAACCGTCCCCCACCACAGAGGTAAATCTGTTGTAATTGATGAACCTACATTGCCACATCATCATCCAAAGTCCATAGTTTACGTTAGGGTTCACTGGGTAGTGCACCTTCTGTGGGTTTGGATAAATGTATAATGACATGTATCCATCATTATGGTATCATACAGAGCAGTTTCACTGCTGCAAGAATCTTCCATGCCAAGAATCTCCCTGTTTTGTCCCCTGGCCCCTGGCAATGACTGATCTTTTTACTTTCTTCATAGTTTTGCCTTTTTCTAAAATGTCATAGTTGGAGTTATACAGTATTCAGCTTTTTGATTGGCTTCTTTCTCTTAGTAATATGTATTTTAGACTCCTCCATGTCTTTTCATGGCTTGATAGCTCATTTTGTGTTAATGCTGAATAATATTCCTTTGACTTCCAGACCACTTTTATTTATCCATTCACCTACTGAAAGACATGTTAGTTGCTTCCAAGTTTTGGCCATTATATAAAAAGCTGCTATAAACATCTGTGTGCAGGTTTTTGTGTGGACTTAGGCTTTCAGTTGTTGGAACATATGGTAAAAGTATGTTTAGTTTTGTACAGAACTGCCAAACTCTCAAAGTGGCTGTACTGTTTCACATTCTCATTAACAGCGAATGAGAATTCCTGTCCACATCCTCACCAGCGTTTGTTGTCACTGTTCTGGATTTTGGCTATTCTGTTTGGCATGTAGTGGTAGCTCACAGTTGTTTTAATTTGCATTTCTTCAGTAACATATGATGTGGAGCATCTTTTCATATATTTTTTTGCCATCTGTAAGTCTTTTTCATGAGATGTCCAGATCCTTTGCCCGTTATAAAATTCGATTTGTTCATTTTCCTGTTGTTGTGATTTAAGAGTCCTTAGTATATTTTGGCTAGGAATTCTCTGTTATCTATTAGATAAGGCTTTTGTGCAGATATTTTCGACCAGTGCGTGGCTCACCTGTCTTTCAGTTATTATTTTTTTTAAATCTTAGATCCAGAAAATTGAATTGTGAATATGGTGAGCTTTCACAATACGCAGGCACGAGTAGCCGCTAGAGAGCCATCTTGTAAACTCCCAACCTTAACTACCTTGATTCTTTATTTGCAGGTCAATGTGACTGTGGACTACATTAGACCAGCCAGCCCAGCCACAGAGACGGTGCCTGCCTTTTCAGAGCGTACCTGTGCCACTGTCACCATTGGAGGAATGTGAGTGCTCAGCCTTAGCTAAGAGTTCTCTCCTCATTCAAGTCTCCTTCCTTTTGCCCTGATTTGCTTTCCGTTGCTCTTAACACAGTGATTTATGATTATTATGTGCCTCTGTAGCACTTTATGTTTGCAAAGTACTTTATAATCACTCATTAGCTAGTCATATACTTTATTATTATTATTTAAGATTTATTGGGCTCTGTGTACTTGCACTGTGTAGCACACATTATTACTATTAATAATTATGCCACTTATTGCGAGTCAGTCAGGCCGCAGTTAGAAAGGTTCTTCTGCATATTGGTTTAGGAAGTTCAATTGTAGACTAGAAAAAAAAAAGAGGGAAGAAGAGAAGTTAATTTGACATTTTCTTTGTGTGGATGTATGTAATCAGCAGATGACAGGGTCTTCCTCTTCTACTGTGCTGACTGCCTCCTGATTATATTCCAAAGTCTCTTGAGAGCGTGATTGATGAACCGTCTTCTGAGGGAGGTGTCTGGTGGAGGAAGGAGGAAGCCTGCCGGGCCATGCTTCCACAGTAAATATTAAAACAATCCGTCAGTCCTCGGTAGCAGTTCTTACTCTGCGTAAAATATACCAGCATGGTAATTGTTTCCTTCTCTATTTAACAATCTTAAACGCTGTTTGTTACAAACTGGTGTTTTTCTTTTCTTTTAATGGTGCATGGTGGAGGGGAAGGAAAGAATAGGCTTCTCATCAAAACGGGAATCGTCTTATCGAAAGTACGGTGAAGCCCGTTAGGAGAAGCACCTCTGAGCTGCTGCATGTCTCTGTAGAGGAAGAGGATCCTGTAGCTCATTTACCTTCCAGAAGCTTAACCAAACAGGAGCCTTTCCCCGTCGTTCGTGTTGTCACATTTGGAAATGAGGATTTTTAGCCACTGTTACCACTCCCGTATTAACGTTGTTGATGTTCACACAACAATCGGAGGCTTCGGTTTTGCCAAGAGGAACTTAATATAGGCTTTTGGTGTCATTACCTTAACAGCATCATAGACATCATGTTAGAAGCAGCTTCTTGACAAATCAGGTAATGTTTTTGAAATGGAAGAAAGCAGGAAATACGTTGGTTATTTGTCTCTCCGTATAGTTTGCATTGTTTATTACCAGTTTGTCAGTACTTCTTAGGAGCTTGATGCAAACTTCCCTGCTACGGAGAGCTGGAACATTAGTGTTCCCTATATGAAAATTTTTACTTTCACAAACAAGGAGTCCTCCCAGTATGTAACTGCTCCTCCAATCTAATTACTGGTAAAACAACATTACTACTATAAAAATGCACATCTTAGTTGTGGCAGATGCCCATGTTTATCTAACAATCTTTTAGAATGGACTTTTTTTTTCATTTAGTTACCCCTGAGCTATATTTTTAAAGTAAATTTATACTGCTTAAAATTAGATATTCTAGGAGTGTTCTATAGAGATTATTTTTAAAGAAAATTCGAGATAGCTGGTTTAAAACTTTTTCCTTAGTAGGGTGTTATGGCCATGTCCCATGCCATGAAACCTTAAGGTTTCAACTGCATTGATCTTGGCTTTGACCAAGATTACTCCTTCAGTCTAGCCTGCATTTCTGTGGAGGTCAGGTGATTGTTCAGCCAGCCAAGGTTTTAGTTAGATCCTCAAGCCTTGGTAAGAAGATGTCAACCTTTTTATCAGCTTGGTCAGTTAACAACAGAAGTCGCTTGGTCTTAATTGATAACATTGTACATCTGTACTTCAAGTTTGAGCCAGAGATGATAACCTTGACCTTCTACCTTCCAGTTCTTATCATTGGATTTTAAAAAATATTTTGTTTTTATGATTTACCAAAGTATTTACCTTGAATTAGACCAGCCTGGCGGGGTACCTGGAAAGCATAGAGTTCCCTCAGAAATTTGTTTCTTCTAAACTAGACTTGGTGAGTAAACTGCTGGGCTGCAATTGGGAGACATACAAGAATTAGTGATATTGTTGAGAACAGCCCTCACTAGACAATAAGCTCTCTGAAGACAGTGATTTTTGTCTCTTATTCCCTGTTGTGGTGTCAGTATTCAGCATATGGTAGGACTTCAATAAATTTGTGAATGATTTGTTTATTGTATTGCAAAGTATCCCTTTAGAAGCATAACAGGGAGTACTTAGATGTTTCTTTTGAGTTACAGGTTTGTTTTTATCTGATCAATATAAAAAATAAATTTGTTTCTGATAATTTTCCTCTTGTGTTTGGTTATTGGAAGTGTCAAAGATAGTACCTCTCTAGAAAGTATATACCTGGCAGCATGCTCTTTATAGTCCAAACTTACTCATAGCTTCTCTTTATTTTCCCTTTGCCTTGATTTAGTTTTTATTTGCTTTTTCCCTGAGTTTTCTATACTTAAACAATTCCAAATAATATTATTAAAAAGCTGAGGTATTGATAATGTCCAAATACTTGGCTTATATTTAGAATCAAAGTATACTAAAAGCATTCTATCTGACTAAATTGGTTAGTTATTCAAGAACATTGGCTAGAGGAGAGAGATTTAATTTTATTTATTTCAAATACTTAAATTTCACATTAGTCACAAAAATATGCATGCATTTCCAAATCTTTGATTTATGGGCAGCACAGATCAACAATTCGATATTCTGGTGAATGGCATAACTTCCTCTTTGGATTGGGGACTTAGCAACACTAACTATGGAACCCTAGATTTTTGTGATTTACATCCCCCTCATCTATTGTAGTTGTCCTCTTATTCATTTTTCAGTCATGTCAAAGCTATTTCTCCTTAATAAAGCTTTTAAAAGTATTCAGTTGTTTTCATAAGTACTTACTCTTTTTGTACTCATTTCAATTATTAATGTAACATTTAATGAAGTACATAATTAAAATAACAACCACAATCAGTATAAATAGATCTGGGGACAGAAACAAATGGTACAAGCGGTTGGGACAGATGTGCACAGGAGTGTCAGAGTAGCCTTTAGTCACTCTAACTGGCATCAGCCAGTAGATTTGGTGAGGTCATAGGAAGTCCAGGTCAGTTAAGGGAAGGAGAGCTTCTGTAGTAATGCATCGCTGCTCTCAGACAGGCTTAGTCTAAGCTTGTGGAAATGCTGTAGAACTAAGAAGCAATCCAATCTAAATTACGTCCGCTGTCATATATACGGTTGTACACCTATATATCGGCCTTCATAGCAGCTAGTACCTTTTCGTTATTCAAAGAGATCAGCTGGGATTCTCTGACTTTGAAAGAGCTCTCAAGCTGCTGATTTCAGGGGCATGGGAAAGAAGAGGCAGATGAGATACCGTCTCTTAAGGGTTATTGCAAAGCAGATTTTTAAATGTGTTTCACATGCTCAAATGTGTGAGTTGTCTGTATCCTCAGTAGGATTCAGTGTAATTCTGTTTTTCCTCTTGATGTGTGGGGGAAAGTCAAGTCACAGGATCTCTCTGGTGACACAGTTTTCAACTTTCCATCTCTTGCCCTCTGGGGAATCAATGAAAACGAGGTTCATCATTCCTCTAATAGATTAAAATTTTTTTCTTGATTAACTTCGCTGTGGAGTTGGCAAGAGTTGTTATCTGCTAATCAAAACAGTTTAAATAAAAAATAAAAAGATCAAACTTTGAGTTGTTTCTCATTCTCTGGCTCCCGGCTTGGGAATTAGCTGATCCTTTTTGGCCTGGTTTGTGACATGAAGCTGTCAAGATGGCGCTTCTTGTTAATTACTTCTTATTGTATTTAAGACACTTAAATAACTCTTGGTGTGATTTAGTCTTCTATGTAATTAGCTTCAGTGATTAAAATCTCGTTCTTTCGTTATTGCCAGAGCCTTCTTGAAGAGTGAGATTTTTCTGGGGTGACCTTTACTTGTGCCGGACTTCCAAATTACTATGAGCTCCAATTTGGCAAACGCGTATAATCTATATTAACCGATTGCTTGTGTCTTTCTGCATGTCAGATTTTCAAAGAAAGGGGTTAAAAGAAAATCCGTTCACTTTTTAAAGAGCACCTGAACAATATAACTTAGGGTCAAGCCTCACACACTCATAATTAACACCATCCCACTCCCCCATCCCTGGAAAATGGTCATATACCCAGTGGATAAAATGTGTCTAAGGTTTTTCCACAGTACTTCCCATCATGTGAAGTATTTCACAGTAATAGGGGACAATAGACATGGCCCATTTTTGGAAAGTGAATGGCACAGAAATGGAACTATGGAACTATGGAATAGGAACAGTGGAAAATGCCTGTTTATTTTCTGCACAAGGTCACATATTTTGAGAGGTGATTTGTTTTTTGTAATAGTGCTTTTTGAAACATTCTTTCATCTATTGCTTCCCTCCATTGCCCATCCCTGCTTCCCC